AGGATCAGCCAGAGCCTTCCGCCAGACAGGATCAGCCAGAGCCTTCCGCCAGACAGGATAAGCCAGAGCCTTCCGCCAGACAGGATCAGCCAGAGCCTTCTGTCAGACAGGATCAGCCAGAGCCTTCCGCCAGACAGGAGCAGCCAGAGCCTTCCGTCAGACCGGATCAGCCAGAGCCTTCCGCCAGACGGGATCAGCCAGAGCCTTCCGCCTGCCATGAGCAGCCAGATCCGTCAGCCAGCCATGAGCAGCAGGATCCACCAGAGCCAGCCTGCCAGGAGCCGTCATTCAGTCCGGAGCTGCCCCTCAGTCCGGTGCTGCCACTTAGTCAGGTACTGTTCCTTAGCCTGGTGCTGGTCCTTATCCCGGTGCTGGCCCTTAGCCCGGTGCTGCCCCTTAGCCCGGTGCTGCCCCTTAGCCCGGTGCTGCCCCTTATCCCGGTGCTGGTCCTTAGTCCGGTGCCGCCCCTTAACCCAGTGGGGTGTAGTTGGGGGGTGGTAATGTGTAGGAGGCTAAGTAAGTGGGTAATGACTATGGTGGGGTGGGGACCACGACCTGGGCCAGAGCCGCCACCTGGACAGACGCCCACCCAGACCCTCCCCTAGACGGTATGCTGGTGCGCCCGGAGTGCGCACCTTTAGGGGGGGGGTACTGTAACACTCTGGCTCCAGGGACTCTGATTGTTGAGCCAGGGTTGTTATTTTCATTTAGGGTGTCTTTTGTTTTGGTTTTGTATTTCTAGGTTTGCCTTTCTGTTGGTTGTATTTCTAGGTTTGTCTATGACTCCCAATCGGAGGTAACGAGTGTCAGCTGTTCGGCTCGTTATCTCTGATTGGGAGCCATATTTATGCTGTATGTTTCCTGTGGGGTTGGTGGGTTTTTGTTTCCTTGATGCTGTTAGTTTATTTCAGTATTGGAACTTCACGTATCGTTCTTTGTTGTTTTCTCGTGTTGCACTTTAATTAAATAAAGTCATCATGTTTATCGGAACACGCGCTGCGCTTTGGTCTCATCATTCACACGATCGTGACATTTATTTGCAAATTATGGTGGAAAATAAGTATTTGGTCACATACAAACATGCAAGATTTCTGGCTCTCACAGACATGTAACTTCTTCTTTAAGAGGCTCCTCTGTCCTCCACTCGTTACCTGTATTAATGGCACCTGTTTGAACTTGTTATCAGTATAAAAGACACCTGTCCACAACCTCAAACAGTCACACTCCAAACTCCACTATGGCCAAGACCAAAGAGCTGTCAAAGGACACCAGAAACAAAATTGTAGACCTGCACCAGGCTGGGAAGACTGAATCTGCAATAGGTAAGCAGCTTGGTTTGAAGAAATCAACTGTGGGAGCAATTATTAGGAAATGGAAGACATACAAGACCACTGATAATCTCCCTCGATCTGGGGCTCCACGCAAGATCTCACCCCGTGGGGTCAAAATGATCACAAGAACGGTGAGCAAAAATCCCAGAACCACACGGGGGGACCTAGTGAATGACCTGCAGAGAGCTAGGACCAAAGTAACAAAGCCTACCATCAGTAACACACTACGCCGCCAGGGACTCAAATCCTGCAGTGCCAGACGTGTCCCCCTGCTTAAGCCAGTACATGTCCAGGCCCGTCTGAAGTTTGCTAGAGTGCATTTGGATGATCCAGAAGAGGATTGGGAGAATGTCATATGGTCAGATGAAACCAAAATAGAACTTTTTGGTAAAAAACTCAACTCGTCGTGTTTGGAGGACAAATAATGCTGAGTTGCATCCAAAGAACACCATACCTACTGTGAAGCATGGGGGTGGAAACATCATGCTTTGGGGCTGTTTTTCTGCAAAGGGACCAGGACGACTGATCCGTGTAAAGGATAGAATGAATGGGGCCATGTATCGTGAGATTTTGAGTGAAAACCTCCTTCCATCAGCAAGGGCATTGAAGATGAAACGTGGCTGGGTCTTTCAGCATGACAATGATCCCAAACACACCGCCCGGGCAATGAAGGAGTGGCTTCGTAAGAAGCATTTCAAGGTCCTGGAGTGGCCTAGCCAGTCTCCAGATCTCAACCCCATAGAAAATCTTTGGAGGGAGTTGAAAGTCCGTGTTGCCCAGCGACAGCCCCAAAACATCACTGCTCTAGAGGAGATCTGCATGGAGGAATGGGCCAAAATACCAGCAACAGTGTGTGAAAACCTTGTGAAGACTTACAGAAAACGTTTGACCTGTGTCATTGCCAACAAAGGGTATATAACAAAGTATTGAGAAACTTTTGTTATTGACCAAATACTTATTTTCCACCATAATTTGCAAATAAATTCATAAAAAATCCTACAATGTGATTTTCTGGAAAAAAATGTCTCATTTTGTCTGTCATAGTTGACGTGTACCTATGATGAAAATTACAGGCCTCTCTGATCTTTTTAAGTGGGAGAACTTGCACAATTGGTGGCTGACTAAATACTTTTTTCCCCCACTGTACTTAATCGTACCGGTACAGTTGACAGCTGACAGTTGGAAACTGACCGTCGACAATTGATAGTGTTTATGTTTGGATCTTGCAGCAGTTTAGAATGTCTGGAGCTCTTTCTCCCGCTCTTGTGCCTGATGCATAACATTAATGTTAGACTGATGTTCGATTTCTACATGGATCCAGAGGAAACACGGCACAAAAGGGGGAGATATAAACTGTATGTAAGGGATAGCGAGGCTCCCATCCCTGGCATTACCAGCATAATTGGTCATACTTACATTTTACTTACTTACATCTTAAATCCATTGAGACCGCTAGGTATAGCCAATTTGTCGGAAACTTTCCAAATGTCGACAAAACTAAATATGCTAGTAAAGGCTGGATCTTTTAGTGTTGGTAAAATTAATTATGCGAGAAATGGTGGTGGAAAGGCTTTTATGCGCAAATATTGATATAATAACCATCATTTCGAAATAATCTTGGGAGTCACGCGATGACATGTTGTGTGGTCCTCCCACTACAACTCGGGAAAGCTTGCAGTTTATTAGACTACAGATTAATTAAATTATGATGAACGTCACAGGGTGGTGAAAGTGAAAGTTGATGAGCTTGATGCTCCTTTCCAATAAATATTGAGGGTCTTATTCTGGTGACACAATGATCGATGCTTGGCTGCCGTTTGACCAATAAAAATATTCTCGCTCTCATCCATAATAATCTCATCATGAAGACTAGCCTACCCGCACAGCCTACCCACACTGTACCTCTAGCTGTTGCCTAGAGCGCATGAACCAACACCAGAGTAGACACATTAGCTATTTAACGCAACCGTTTTTGTGACAAAACTATCGTAGAGTTGAAAATGCAATGGAAACACATTGAACTTTAGATTTTTATTTGGTACATGAAAACTTAAGAGAAAAATTATATTTTGTGTGCCTTAGTCATCACGCACTGATTTCTATCTGAAACAAGTCAGTTTGTTGGAAACACACCACTGGTGGGAAAATAAGCATATTTTCTTTATGCGGATTTTAGAATATTTGCATGAAAATCTGTCGCCAATTGGATGGAAATCTAGCTATTGTCAATTTTCTCTTTCTCTACACTATATCGAAACTCATTATTGGCACAGAAACTATACACTCTTCGAAAACAAGGTGCTACCTAGAACCTAAAATGGTTCCTCGGAAAGTGACAGCTCATCAATGAACCCCAAGTAGTGAAGCTCTCTAGATAAGTATTAGCAAAGTGTAGGCTTTATCCAATGACAGTGTATAGAATGGCCACTGGCCATATCCAGCATAGATGAACAGAGAACATTCTAGAACAGTCCATGGTTTAGCTGGGGTCAGCAAGGCACTGACACATTGCTTTGCCTCAAAGGTTTAATGTACATCTGTCATCATACCCATCCGTATGTAGCAGGTGGTAAGGATTCTTCAAAAAAAAAATTGTTCATGGACAATTAAAATAAAGATTGATAAAATAAAATACAAAAAATATGAATACGTTTTATCCCTTACACTTGGCAGTGGCACAAACAATTTCTCAGGAGGACAATGCAGTTAATATGCAACTATAACAAGCATCATTACAGTCTTCATTGATGAGTGGAAGGAGTAAAACAGATGTATAGTCAGTAAAACACAGAGAATGTTAAAAGCTTTTCTCTTTTATTGCTCAGTGTATGCTACGATACAAAAAAGACATGACTGTGGACCAAAGATACTGCCCCTCCTCTCCATTCTACATGTAGCAAAATACCCATTATCTGGTATGGCACCACATGCCCATTGCAGCGACATACATCCAGTAGATTGACAACATATTCAACAAAACGATAATTCAACAAAATCTTCAAACACAGGGAAGTATGATTCAACAGATCAGCATTTCACAATGTGACAAACAGACGCAGTAACAGAGGCAGCATTTAGCAACTAGAAACCTGTGACAAAGCAAAAGTAAAGCAAGATAAACTGAAATAGATTTGATAATGAAACAAAATATGTATATTTGATTAAACTGCCACTGTATGTGCTCACAGTAAATATTCAGGATAAAATATTATCTCAGTATTTTCATTGGTCATGATTTCTACGGCCTTTTTCATTTCTACAACCAGCAATTAAATATAATATCATTCAATATCTATACATTACAGTAATAAACACAGTTTACTCTCATGGACAAATACTGTACTTATGGAGGGAGATTACAATAGGTTTGGTCTCAAAATATTTCCTAAAGTTTAGAGAGGGTTAACGTTAAACAAACCTCATTGAGTGCCAAAACCAGAACCTACTCCATAACACAAATCCAGACAGACAGACAGACAGACAGGGGGAGAGAGAGAGAGAGAGAGAGAGAGAGAGAGAGAGGAGAGAGAGAGAGAGAGAGAGGAGAGAGAGAGAGAGAGAGAGAGAGAGAGAGAGAGAGACAGATAGGCAGATAGGCAAAGAAAGAGAGACACAGAGAGACAGACAGACAGTCACACCCAAGCACACACACACACACACACACACACACACACACACACACACAGGCTGGTGACACGCGAGGGGAAAAGCCATTATAAAAGTCAATTCCATTTGGTATATACAGATACAACACTATACCTCTTGGGCATTGTCCCTTGCCTACACTACTGTTGCAGGTCCCCCTGCTATCGAGGCAGTTCAAATGATAACCCCTCCATTGCCTCTACTAAAACCTGATCTCACAAACATTGCCCTAAATCTCGTAGGTACAGAATTCAAGTTGAACAGGCTTTTCGCAAAATATTTGGGGTTTGATTAAAAAGAAAATGAAACATAACATTCTTACAGAATATCTTCTCTCTAAAGCAGAATTCAAGTGGCCACGTCCACAATGTTCTCACCATCAAGCCACTGTAACAAAACGGAAATCACACATACTCCGTAGTTTATAAAGACATAAAAACCCTTATCACAATTAAGCATTTGTAGAAAATTTACATCACAAAAATATGTAGGCGCACCTTCATAGTAAATAGTGTCTGTTTTTAACTCTTCCTTTAGTGTTGTCTATGTATTCATAATGTACAGTATAAAGTGGGAGTCTCTGAAGATTTACCACGTATATAAAAACGACAGCGGAGGGAGAAAAGGGAGAAAGCCATGGCGGGGGACCTTTATTTTGAAAGTCAGACCTTTATTTTTGACAGTCTTGTATTGGTGGTTTCAGGACATGGCCACAAGACCAGCCTCCCTCATCTCTAGATGGCGCAGGACTTCTCTCTGTTGATGAACAGGGTCTCCTGGCAGAAAGGGTTAACCAGCACCACCCCGCTGTCGCTGTAGTCCCCGTTAGGGGGTAGACACATCTCCTGCTCCTGGAACATACACAGGAGCACGCATGTACGCACACACACACACACACACACACACACACACACACACACACACACACACACACACACACACACACACACACACACACACACACACACACACACACACATACACACACAGACAGACAAAGTCACACACACACAACATATACATTAGCATGACACTACATCACGATTCATGCCAGGTACACACTATAGAAGATAAATACTAGCTGATTCTAAAGGCTAGTGAGATTCAGGGCTGAGTGTTTTGTGACTTGGCAGACACAAACCATTCTCATGAGGACAAAAGATGGCTGAATGATTACACTAGCAGAGAGAACACACAGAGAGAAAAATAGAGGGAAGGAGAGAGGGGAGTTGAACAGGCTCCATGACAGAGAAAAGAAGGAAAGAAGGGAAAAGAAGGGGTGACTCAGCAGAACACAGCAGAGGGAGGAGAGAGAGAGAGGAGAGGGAGAAAGAGGAGAGGCAGAGAGAGAAATGGTGGTGGTGACTCAGCTAAAAGACAGAACTGGGGGTGGAAGGTGGTGAAGAAAAAGATGAAAAAAAACAGAAAGAGAGGAGACAAAGAGAGGTACATTCTAACTGGCAATACCCCAAACCCTAACATAAACAAATCACTATATATAGTACTTGTACTATTGTATGCAAGATACACTAGGTTGCACTTGGCTATTCAGGAAAAATAAGCGATAAATATTGACTGTAACGGCCATAGAGATAAATCTATTCACGATTCATCTCTATGGTAACGGCACCAGACAAGCTAGAGGCACTTTAGGAAAGAAAAATATGGAGGGAAGGAGGAAGGGATGAGGTAGAGCTTCAGTGAGAGGAGGAATAAAACAGGGACGCAACACAACACCTGTGTGTCACCACGAGCATCCTAAACATGTTCCGACCTCGGCATCCCGCTCCTGCACCACCAGAGGAGAGATGGATGGAGAGAGAAAGCGATGGAGGGAGCAAAAAAAGAGGACAAACCAGAAATAGAGGTGTGGTCAGTATGCAGATGAGAAATTATGAGGAGAGCTGATAAGACTTGCTGATTTCATAGCAACAAAAATATGTCAGTAGATTGAACTAAATAAAGGATAAGCTAAAGGTCTAAAATTACACCAAAATGATTAGTTGAAGTGGGGCCACAACATTTTAGCTGTACCATTAATCTTACAGCAGAGGGCACTATAGTCCACATACACACACACACACATATATATATATATATAATATATATATATATATATATATATATATATATATATATATATATATATATATATATATATTCCACTGTAACCACATGTTGACCTCACATCTACTCTAGCTACTTAGCAACACTCGGCTCGCTGATTTACATTTTCTGTATCATCTCTGAATTCATGTATAGTTGAGGAGCCTAATTTGGAGGAGCCCAATATTGTAATGGCTGTATGAATATAGGCTACATATTCATTAAATCCCTTGGTATTTCTAAACTCTAATCAATGCCATCACACAGTTTATATCAATCTGACTAAATCTCCATTATACCATGCTGAATCCATGCAACAACCTTACATATAGGCAATTTCACTATATATAATAAATCCCCTCTAAAGCAATTGAGTGCCAGATTGGGGGCTGTAATTTCGTAATTACATTATATACCGGCCCTTCCCCTCAAGTGTAACATTTATCATATCCTACAGGAAGTCCTCTTTGGTCTAATAATAAAAGTGTCAGTCAGTCTCAGGACTGTGTGTACCTCAGCATTGTCGAGGGATGTGATTTCCCGGGGCAGCTCCACGGCGTGCCTGTTGAAGTAGTCCATGGTGATGGCATTGTTCCAGTAGCTCAGGTTGTTCTCCTGACTTGAAGACTTCTTCTTCCTCCTCATACAGCACACGGTCAGCAGCACAGCTGGAGGGGGAGAGGAAGGGAGGATGGAGGAAGGTAGGGAAGGAGGGCGAGGGGGAGGCAAAATCAGTACAGTCTCTAAAACGATCCAACCTCTAATATATCTATCCAGCTCTTTAATTATTTATCACGTTGACTCAGTGGATAGGTTGGGTGGTATGAATGTGATCTCAGCCTCATAAAAGTGGTGGTCAGTCTCCTACTGACTCAAACACAATTTCTCTAACCTCTTTGCCTTTGATATGGTTTTCTCTAAGGGGCTTTGAGTTTATACTTAAATTGTACAAGAGATATTAATCCCTAATAGAGGGAAATGGACGTTTGATATGAAGGGCTTTGTTATCATTAAAAAAACATGTTTTGCCATCAAAGCATTCATCAGGTTGTTATTTGATACTCACAGCACGAGGACACAGGCACACTGATGGCCAACACGATCCACACAATGTCTATCTTGCTCAGGCAGATGGTGGCGTGGGACAGCGGTGAGTCCAGAGCGGGGCCGGATCCATTACCAGGACCCCAGGGGTCCGCAGTGGTGGCGGGGACCAGTCGGTTCAGGAAGTTCCCACTGGCCGTGGAGGGGGGCTCCGTAGCGGACGAGCTGTTCCACTGGGAGGAGGGGTCCTCGCCAGGGATGCCCTCCACACTGCCGCTATGAAAAGTGACATTGCCATCTGTTTTCAGCTCCAGGGTGGGGTCTTCGTTGACCAGGGGGTGCACCTCCCGTATGGTGATGGCGTGGGGTCGGGACAGCTCGGGCGTGGCTTCAACATACTCCCTGAGGGTCTGATCTAGAGCAGCATCCACTGAGGAAGAGGAGGAGGAGAGTGAGAAAGGCTGCAGCTCAGTGGTGAAGTCCTGCTGACTGGGGTCTGTGGGCTCCTCGACATTCCTCTCCTGGGGCTCCTGGGTGTGTGTGGGGACCGGGGGACCAACAAGCTCCGGGCCCAGAGTATCCCCTCTCTCTGTGAGCGGGCTGGGCAAAGGAGGAGCCAGGGCAGACCCAGAATCTGGAGCCCCCTCCACTGCAGCTGGAGCCACCTCACTCTGTGGGCCAGCAGAGCTGGGAGGGCTAGGAGGGCTGTTGCCCTGGTTAACATTAACAGTATCTGGGCTATGGGCTTGATTGACCAAGTTGGGCAAGAGGCCCTGGTCTGCACTGAGAGAATTGGAGCTGTGGCCCGGGTTGAGCGCACCAGAGCTGGGGGAATGGGCCTGCTTGACTGGGCTGGGGCTGACAGAGCTAGGGCCAGGGTCTTGGTTTACTCTCACAGAGTTCACAGTGTTAGGACTGAAAGTAGCTGCAGCATGAATGAGGCTGTCTTTACTGAGTGGTGTCACAGTGTGTGCCAGGCTGGTGTGGTGGGTTAGATGCCAGCCCCAGGAGCTGAGGGCTGTGGTGGGCTGGATGATGCCTGTGGGCAGCGCTCCTCCCTGGGGGGACCAAGGGTCCCCGCTGCTGGAGTCCTCCTGCTGCCAGTCTGGGAGGGGCAGGAGCGCGTTAGGGGGGCTGCTGTGGGGCGCTGCCATGGAGACAGGGTCCTGGGGGGTCCGGCTGGGGTACAGCTCCTGGGTAGAGGACACCACTCCCACTGGCACAGCCAGGATCGCTAGAACACCTACAGAGAGAGAGAGATAATTATTAGAAAGAATGTGTGTGATTGCGTGCAAGTATGCATATCTGAGTGTGTGTCCAGGTCGGTCTACTCTTTCTCCTGAGGTTCCCTGTTTGGCATATTGAGGCACAAACACTGATCCCCAGAAGCTGCAATAGGCTGTTTATGAGTCCTGGAGGAACCATAACCTTCGGCTGGATTCAATCGAGCTGAAAGATGATGGCCAGAGCTTACCCATGATGTTGCACAATGATTTAAGTCAATAAGTAATCATTTTAGTCAAAGTATGATATACTGAACTGCCCCCAAATCCGTGTGAATGCGGTGTCTTTTCCTACGATTCATTTCAGGGCTGGGTTTTATTTTAATGTTACCACCCACCAGCATGGCATTGTTAATTCTTCAAAAACAGCTGCAAAGTTATTCCTCTTTGCGACTGGGATGAGCCAAATAGCCTTGTGTCCACTTGGTCGCCTGAGCCATGGAGAAAATGAAAATAGGGGGTGCAAACTTATGCTTTTGCACCTCTGCTTAAAAAAAAATCATAATCCATTGGATAATTTGTCAATTTTCACTTATTTTTTTAGATAGTCTTAAGTGAACACACACACACACTACATGGCCAAAAGTATGTGGACATATGCTCGTCGAACATCTCATTCCAAATTCAAGGGCATTAATATGGAGTTGGTCCCCCATTTGCTGCTATAACAGCCTCCACTCTTCTGGGAAGGCTTTCCACTAGATGTTGGAACATTGCTGCAAGGACTTGCTTCCATTCGGCAACAAGAGCATTAGTGAGGTCGGGCACTGATGTTGGGCGATAAGGCCTGGCTCACAGTCGGCGTTCCAATTCATTGCAAAGGTGTTTGATGGGGTTGAGGTCAGGGCTCTGTGTAGGCCAGTCAAGTTCACCCATAACGATCTCGACAAACCATTTATGTTACGGACCTCGCTTTGTACACGGGGGCATTGTCATGCTGAAACAGGAAAGGGCCTTCCCCAAACTGTTGCCACAAAGTTGGAAGCACAGAATCGTCTAGAATGTCATTGTATGCTGTAGCATTAAGAGTTCCCTTCACTGGAACTAAGGAGTCTAGCCCGAACCATGTAAAACAGCCCCAGACCATTATTCCTCCTTCACCAAACTTAACAGGTGGCACTATGCAATGAGGCAGGTAGCAATCACCTGGCATCCGCCAAACCCAGATTCGTCCGTCGGACTGCCAGATGGTGAAGCGTGATTCATCACTCCAGAGAACGCATTTCCACTGCTCCAGAGTCCATTGGCGTCGAGCTTTACACCACTCCAGCCGACGCTTGGCATTGCGCATGGTGATCTTAGGCTTATGTGCGGCTGCTCGGTCATGGAAACCCATTTCATGAAGCTCCCGAAGAACAGTTATTGTGCTGACGTTGCTTCCAGAGACAGTTTGGAACTTGGTAGTGAGTGTTGCAACCGAGGACAGACGATTTTTACGCGCTACACGCTTCAGCACTCGGCGGTCCAGTTCTGTGAGCTTGTGTGGCCTACCACTTCACGGCTGAGCCGTTGTTGCTCCTAGATGTTTCAACTTCACAGTAACAGCACTTACAGTTGACCGGGGCAGCTCTAGAAGGGCAGAATTTTAACGATCTGACTTGTTGGAAAGGTGGCATCCTATGACGGTGCCACGTTGAAAGTCACTGAGCTCTTCAGTAAGGCCATTCTACTGCCAATGTTTGTCTATGGAGATTCCTTCACCTGTCAGCAACGGGTGTGGCTGAAATAGTCGAATCCACTCATTTGAAGGGGTGTCCACATACTTTGGGCCATGTTGTGCATATGTACAGATGGAGAAAATAAAATATTGAAATAAATAAGATAAGATAAGAATGATAAAGAAGAAAAGAGAGTAAGGAGAAAGAAGGGTATAAAGAGGATGAATTGCCACAAAAACCATAGTCACACCAGCAAACGTCCACAATCTCAAACACTGTACTGATGAGCTAGTTCAATTCAGCATCACACATTCCTATACACTCCTTTCTCCCAGTCCATTAAGGGATCCAATAGCATACAAAGCATAAGGCATTTAAACTCAGCCTTCAACTCATAAATCATATTCCTCCCTATATGCTGTTTGTCCTAAATGACACCCTATTCCCTATTCAAAAGTGGTGCACATGGGGAATAGGGTGCCATTTGGTACACAGCCGTTCTGGCTTGCTAGGTACTGTATGAGAGGGTCCTCTCTCCTCTGCTTTCCATTTACCAAGCCTTACACATCCCTAATGCATACAGGAACCTACTCCAGACACCAGACCCATAACTGGGAGATAACACAGACGGTATATTTTGATTTATCAATGGTGGTCTCAGAGAGATGGTCGCAAGGCAGAGAGAGCATATAGTCTCGCAGAAATAGTCCGACCCTCATATTTTGGCCCATTGTTGATCTCTGGTGGTGGTACGTTGCCCCCAGGTCTCCTCGACCCATTATTACTGTATTCAATTCTCCAACATGCACAAACATGATACATTATACATGTCTCTCTGTGACATATAGGCTAGCTATGGTTCCAAACACACAGAGTAGAATTGATAACTATATGATGTCCATTGCGGGGGCTGTTAGTAGACCATAGCTACTATGTTACTGCTATAGACTAACAGTAGCAGTTGTTCTTGAGCATTGTACTTCAGGAGTGTGATAGTGTGCAACACTGTTTGTCAATCACACCCTCAATCGGGATCTAACCCCCGCTATCACAACACTACCTGGCAACCCGGCCCTCGGTCGGTCGGAAAAGCCTGAAAAATACATGAGCTCCGGCTCCGCTGACAACAAAATGGCAACAGAGTTTGCATCTGCTGTGCATACTTACAAACGCTCCAGCAATACACTCCGCAGACACACACACACACACATGCACGCACCTCTGCACACGCACGTTCACGCACGCACGCTCGCACACTGGTCCTCCTCATCTGCAATAAACATACTTATTAATATTAATCTGGGAACCCGCTGATCATCATGCTTTATTGAGTAGCTCATAAAAAATCTTAAAAGAGGCAAAACACCTTTTAAGTTGGGTAGCATCAAAACTTGTTGCATGATGTTCGTTGTCGGTCCGGTGAATAGTCAATATTTTATAAAGTGTCTTCATTACTTGTTTGGTAGGCTATGTGTGGTTGAGTGCACACGCATGCAATCACACACAAACACAGAATATTAGACATTAGAGCTACTGCTGCTGATCATAAGACTGAGACACTCGCAATGACTCACAGGCTGTCCCAAATGGTACCCTATTCACTACATACTGCAGTACTTTTTAGGTCAAAAGTAGTGCACTATGTGGGGAATATGGTGCCATTTGGGATGCAAGCCACAGATAGACACAGGATAGATCTGGGGGGGGGGGTGTGGGTGGGCAGGCGCATACTGTTTGTGTTGAGTGAGTTTGTATGTGTGCATGTGTGTGGCTGTGTGTGTGTGCCTGTCTACCGGTATGTGTGTGTACCAGTATATGTGTGTGTGTGTGTGTGTATGCGGCAGTGGGTTGAGCTGGAGGAGGCAGATCAAGCCATGTAATTTGTCACAGCGCTCCTCTGGCTGGCTGATGGCGTGAACGGGTAAGCAGGGCAAACAGAACCTGGATCTCTCCACACAGTGGTACAGTGAGAGGGAAAGTACTGGGAGTAAATTAGATGATTGAGAGGCCAGGAAGAGTGAACAGGGTTTTATTAACATCCATTATTGAGGGGGCTGAGGTAAGAAGAGAACATGAGCAAGAGAAGGAGGTGACGGAAAAAGGAGGAGGAGGGGGAGGAGGAGGAGGGGGAGGAGGAGGAGGAGGAGGGGGAGGAGGAGGAGGAGGGGCAATGGAGGTAGCTGAGGAGAAGATACTAGTGTTGGATGTGTGTGGTGGTTGATGGATGGGGTTAACGTTTTAGTTTAGTTTATTAGGATCCCCATTAGCTACTGCACATGCAGCAGCTACTCTTCCCGGGGTCCACATAAAACGTACAAATACATGACAAAGTACAGAACAGTAATAGACAAGAACAACATAAGATATTAAATTGAAATAGAGTTCTATATAGGAAAGACACCAAGACACAACAAAAATACTATTTACACACTATTCATACAGTATATAAACTCAGCAAAAAAAGAAACGTCCCTTTTTCAGGACCCTGTCTTTCAAAGATAATTAATACAAATCCAAATAACTTCACAGATCTTCATTGTAAAGGGTTTAAACACTGTTTCCCATGCTTGTTCAATTAACCATAAACAATTAATGAACACGCACCTGTGGAACGGTCGTTAAGACACTAACAGCTTACAGATGGTAGGCAATTAAGGTCACAGTTATGAAAACTTAGGACACTAAAGAGGCCTTTCTACTGACTCTGAAAAAAACAAAAAGAAAGATGCCCAGGGTCCCTGCTCATCTGCGTGAATGTGCCTTAGGCATGCTGCAAGGAGGCATGACGACTGCAGATGTGGCCTGGGCAATAAATTGCAATGTATGTACTGTGAGACACCTAAGACAACGCTACAGGGAGACAGGACGGACAGTTGATCGTCCTCGCAGTGGCAGACCACGTGTAACAACACCTGCACAGGATCGGTACATCCGAATATCACACCTGCGGGACAGGTACAGGATGGCAACAACAACTGCCCGAGTTACACCAGGAACACACAATCCCTCCATCAGTGCTCAGACTGTCCACAATAGGCTGAGAGAGGCTGGACTGAGGGCTTGTAGGCCTGTTGTAAGGCAGGTCCTCACCAGACATCACCGGCAACAACGTCGCCTATGGGCACAAACCTACCGTGACTGGACCAGACAGGACTGGCAAAAAGTGCTCTTCACTGACGAGTCGCGGTTTTGTCTCACCAGGGGTGATGGTCGGATTTGCGTTTATCGTCGAAGGAATGAGCGTTACACCAAGGCCTGTACTCTGGAGCGGGATCGATTTGGAGGTGGAGGGTCCGTCATGGTCTGGGGCGGTGTGTCACAGCATCATCGGCCTGAGCTTGTTGTCATTGCAGGCAATCTCAACGCTGTGCGTTACAGGGAAGACATCCTCCTCCCTCATGTGGTACCCTTCCTGCAGGCTCATCCTGACATGACCCTCCAGCATGACAATGCCACCAGCCATACTGCTCGTTCTGTGCGCGATTTCCTGCAAGACAGGAATGTCAATGTTCTGCCATGGCCAGCGAAAAGCCCGGATCTCAATCCCATTGAGCATGTCTGGGAACTGTTGGTCGGAGGGTGAGGGCTAAGGCCATTCCCCCAAAAATGTCAGGGAACTTGCAGGTGCCTTGGTGGAAGAGTGGGGTAACATCTCACAGCAAGAACTGGCAAATCTGGTGCAGTCCATGAGGAGGAGATGCACTGCAGTACTTAATGCAGCTGGTGGCCACACCAGATACTGACTGTTACTTTTGATTTTTGACCCCCCCTTTGTTCAGGGACACATTATTCAATTTCTGTTAGTCACATGTCTGTGGAACTTGTTCAGTTTATGTCTCAGTTGTTGAATCTTGTTATGTTCATACAAATACTTACACATGTTAAGTTTGCTGAAAATAAACGCAGTTGACAGTGAGAGGACGTTTATTTTTTTGCTGAGTTTACATGTTCATATTCTTATATACAATACAGTTCAATTAGATCTTTAGAAGGAGGATAGATGCTCTACAATATGTTTTTTGTATCTGTTTTTAAAGCTAAACTTGCTTTTTTCCTGAGTAACCTCTGGTGGCAAAGCATTCCACAATGATATGGCTCTATATATAACTGAGCGAAGCATTAAATCTGTGTTTGGTTTGGGTACCGTGAAGAAACCCATAGTGGTGTGTCTGGTGGGTATGTATCTCTTAAAAAGACTAGAACAAAAGTAGTCAATTTCTCCTCAACCCTCAACTATGAAAGACTAACATGCATGTTGTTGATGTTAGTTCTGTGTGTGCAGTTAAAGCAGCAATATGTAACCTGACCAAATTCACATATAAATACGGTGCCTTCGGAAAGTATTCAGACCCCTTCACTTTTTCCATATTTTGTTACGTTACAGCCTTATTCTAAAATGTATTAAATTGTGTTTTTTTCCCCCTCATCAATCTACACACAATACCCCATAATGACAAACCAAAAACAGGTTTTTAGAAATGTTTGCAAATGTATTTAAAATCTAAACTGAAATATCTCATTTACATAAGTATTCAGACCCTTTACTCAGTAATTTATTGAAGCACCTTTGGCAGCGATTACAGCCTCAAGTCTTCTTGGGTATGACGCTACAAGCTTGGCACACCTGTAGTTGGGGAGTTTTTCCCATTATTTTCTGCAGATCCTCTCAAGCTCTGTCATGTTGGATGGGCATCGTCGCTGCACAACTATTTTCAGGTCTCTCCAGAGATGTTCGATCGGGTTCAAGTCCGGGCTCTGGCAGGGCCACTCAAGGACATTCAGAGACTTGTCTTCTTTTCCGTCACAGGAAAGGAAGACCCAGAGTTACCTCTGCTGCAGAGGATAAGTTAATTAGAGTTAACTGCACCTCAGATTGCAGCCCAAATAAATGCTTCACAGAGTTCAAGTAACAGACACATCTCAACATCAACTGTACAGAGGAGACTGCGTGAATCAGGCCTTCATGGTCGAATTACTGCAAGGAAACCATTACTAAAGGACACCAATCAGAAGAAGAGACTTGCTTGGGCCAAGAAACACGAGCAATGGACATTAGACTGGTGGAAATCTGTCCTTTGGTATGATGAGTCCAAATGTGAGATTTTTGGTTCCAACCGCCGTGGCTTTGTGAGACGTGGTGTGGGTGAACGGATGATCTCTGCATGTGTATTTCCCACCGTGAATCATGGAGGAGGAGGTTTTATGGTGTGGGGGTGCTTTGCTGGTGACACTGTCTGTGATTTATTTAGAATTCAAGGCACACTTAACCAGCATGGCTACCACAGCATTCTGCAGCGATACGCCATCCCATCTGGTTTGCGCTTAGTGGGACTATCATTTGTTTTTCAACAGGACAATGACCCAAAACACACCTCCAGGCTGTGTAAGGGCTATTTGACCAAGGAGAGTGATGGAGTGCATCAGATGACCTGGCCTCCACAATCACCTGACCTCAACCCAGTTGAGATGGTTTGGGCTGAGTTGGACCGCAGAGTGAAGGAAAAGCAGCCAACAAGTGCTCAGCATATGTGGGAACTCCTTTAAGACTGTTGAAAAAGCATTCCTCATGAAGCTGGTTGAGAGAAGTGCAAAGCTGTCATCAAGGCAAAGGGTGGCTACTTTGAAGAATCTAAAATCAAAACATATTTTCATTTGTTTAACACTATTTTGGTTACTACGTGACTCCATATTTGTTATTTCATAGTTTTGATGTTTTAACTATTATTCTACTATGTAGAAAATAGTACAAATAAATAAAAATGTAAAAACCCTTGAATGAGTAGGTGTGTCCAAACTTTTGACTAGTACTGTATATATCTCAGTTGTAAAATAGACAGCTGAGAAATAATTTTAAAAAATAATGATGGAGGCCACAGTGTTCTTGGGGACCTTAAATGCTGCAGAAATGTTTTGGGACCCTTCCCCAGATCTGTGCCTCGACACAATCCTGTCTCGGAGCTCTATGGAAAATTCCTTCGACCTCATGGCTTGGTTTTTGCTCTGACCTGCACTGTCAACTGTGGGACCTTATATAGACAGGTGTATGCCTTTCCAAATAATTTCCATTCAAATGAATTTACTACAGGTGGATTCCAATTAAGTTGTAGAAACATCTCAAGGATGATCAATGGAAACAGGATGCACCTGAGCTCAATTTCGAGTCTCATAGCAAAGGGTCTGAATACTTATGTAAAGAAGGTATTTCTGTTTTTAATTGTTTATACATTTGCAAAAAATTCTAAAAACCTCTTTTCACTTTGCCATTATGGGGTATTGTGTGTAGATTGATGTGAAAAAACAATAATTTAATCAATTTTAGAATAAGGCCGTAACGTAACAAAATGTGGAAAAAGGGAAGGGGACTGAATACCTTCCGACTGCACTGTATGTGTTATCTTCTAAACTGCGTATGCAGCTAGCTAGTTTAGTCTACTCAAACACCCCGACTCAAACAGAGAGGGATGCTATGTTAGCTAGCTGGCTATGGCTATCCAACACTGGAACTCCAATTCAAGTTAAGTTAATTAATTTGCCATCGGGGCCCGCCGGTGTAACTGCTAAACTGCTTTCTGACTGTACACTGTAAAGACAGCAAACTGATTGGGCGGCTATTAGAGCCAGCAAAGGGTGCTTTACTATTTTTAGGTAGTGGAATTACTTTAGCTTCCTTCCACGCCTGTGGACACACACACTCCTTTAGGTTAAAGACATGGCAAATAGGGGTTGCAATACAGTCTACCTTTCTCAATAGTTTCCCATATTAGGTTTTCTATACCTGGTGGCTTACATAATTGATGGATAACAACAGTTTTTCAGCAGGGTGCTCTATTCTTCGTGCCACCTCTGCATAGCTGTCTTGCTGGACTCTTGGTCTCTTCTGATTGGGATGTTGTCCTGTTACAGTAGCATGGGGGGTAGTGGGTTGGGGGGTTGCTGTCCTCTCTGGAAGGGGCCCGATGGTGCAGGATGGAGCTGGCCTCTCTTGATGGGGCCTGGAGGTGTAGGGTCGAGCTGGCCTCTCTGGAAGGGGCCCGATGGTGCAGGGTGACGTTGGAAGTAACAGTATTCAGTCTGATCTTGTCTTCCTTTTTCATCCTCTGTTTGGTTGAGATCCTCAGGCTAGTCTGGACTTGTCCACAGACAGATTGCACTGGCACAGACAGATTGGCAATGTGTGTGTGTGTGTCTCACCCCACAGTATCATATATTTAATTGAGTAAGCATGTCAAATACAAGGTGCTTGAGGAAACAAATTACTGTTTTAGAGGACATATCATGGAGGACATACCATCCTACATCTTGACTCCATCTAACACAACACAAAGGACACAGGGACACATGACTCGCTCTTAAAGCTGAGATCTGCGATAGGCGAAACAGCGCCACTGGCCGACCCAGGCGCATCGTAGTACATACTCTGCTATTCTATCGCGCATGCAATGATGTGCAATAATGTCTGCAAAAAAACAAAACGGTGTTCGTTGTTTGAAGTAACGTCTTTGTTGTTGTAATATTGCAAACGAATGTGGCAGTTTCACCACTATGAAAGGCCTTGTCAACATCATACCCACTGGGCACAGACGTCAGTTCAACATTTAGTTTTGATTTACATTTGGTTGAGTTGTCAACTAACGTGAATTCAACAAAAAATGTCACCATGTCATTGGATTTAGGTTAAAAGTTGGGTTTTGCAAATCCAATTCCACGTTGATTCAGCCTGTTAGCTTCTCTCACTATCTCTGACACCCAACTGATCATACCACTCACTATTCTGGGAGGGTAAAAAAATGAGGACGAGGTCCAAATTACTGTTAAATTAGATCCTGATTTATTTCTGTTATATCAGCCAAAAACCTATTTCAATTAACCCAGCCAAGAGATTTATCAAGGGGAAGGGCAATTTATGCAGTAAACTTGCTGAATTAGAGGCTGTTTTGAATGCATAAGAAGCTAGTGACATTCATGTATAAGTCCTCCATTAATGACATGGCGGGGAATGGGACATTAATAGATCATAGGGCTGGCTGATGTGTCTTGTGCACTTGATCCAATGGCCTTGTCCCCATCTCTCTGTCCCTTTCCCATCACTCAGTTTTAGAGTCAATGTCAGGGCCTAGAAAGCCAAATTGGCCGCCCAGTGTCATTGAGTGGTGAAAATGATCAAATCCTCAACATTCAGCTATAACCTCATTGGTCAGTATTTATTTAAGCTACCAACTCTACCAACTACTGTAGTGGGATAATAGTGTGAGATGTAGCCTACGCTACTACATCTTATATCCACCAGACCAGGCTAATCAATCATAGCAGAGAATCCACTTAGTGTGTATAGTAGAGAGCAGATCAGTGTGTCGTAGAGAGCAGCTCTACAACATCCGTAGAGAACGACCCTACCTCACACAGGAAGCGGGGCAGGTCCTAATCCAGGCACTTGTCCTATCCCGTCTGGACTACTGCACCTCACTGTTGGCTGGGCTACCCGCTTGTGCCATCAAACCCCTGCAACTTATCCAGAACGCTGCAGCCCACCTGGTTTTCAACCTTTGCATGTTCTCTCATGTCACCCCGCTCCTCCGCACACTCCACTGGCTTCCAGTCGGAGCTCGCATCCACTACAAGACCATGGTGCTTACCTACGGAACAGCAAGAGGAACTGCCCCTCCCTACCTTCAGGTTATGCTCAAACCCCACACCCCAACCCGAGCACTCCGTTAAGCCACCTCTGGTCTCTTGGCCCCATTAAGTCCAGTCCAAGCTCTTCTCTGTCCTGGCACCTCAATGGTGGAGCCAGCTTCCCCCTGAAGCTAGGACAGTAGAGTTCCTGCCCATTTTCTGAAAACATCTGAAACTCTACCTCTTCAAACAGTATCTTAAATAATCCTCCTACCTGCACCACTTGCACTTGACCCCCCTCCCCTAGCTCTGACTCTACTGATAGCTACGTTATTGTGATCAATCCTGTGGGGGTTGCCTCTGTCTCTCTCTCTCTCTCTCTCTCTCTCTCTCTCTCTCTCTCTCTCTCTCTCTCTCTCTCTCTCTCTCTCTCTCTCTCTCTCTCTCTCTCTCTCTCTCTCTCTCTCTCTCTCTCTCTCTCTCTCTCTCTCTCTCTCTCTCTCTGTGGAGGCCTGAGTAGGTCCATCTATTACCAGGGTAATCTCATGGACACTGTGTTTGTGTTAACAAACCTCCAAACGAGCTTCAATGCCATACAACACTCCTTCCGTAGCCTCCAACTGCTCTTAAACACTAGTAAAACTAAATGCATGCTTTTCAATCGAACGCTGCTGGCACCCGCCCACCCGACTAGAATCAATACTCTCGGCGGGTCTGACCTAGAGTATGTGGACAACTACAAATACCTAGGTGTCTGGTTAGACTGTAGACTCTCCTTCCAGACTCACATTAAGCATCTCCAATCCAAAGTTAAATCTAGAATTGGCTTCCTATTTCGCAACAAAGCCTCCTTCACTCATGCTGCCAAACATGCCCTCGTAAAACTGACTATCCTACCGATCCTTGACTTCGGCGATGTCATTTACAAAATAGCCTCCAACACTCCACTCAGCAATTTCTCCAAGCTTAACACACACATCACTCGCTGTGGTGCCACAGGGACAGATCATTATATTATCACATCATTAGCGATTAGCGTACAGGCTAAACATGCATGACTGTTACTGTATTGTTAGCAATGTTGACACTGCATAGCAGTTAGCGATTAAGGATGCCCTCACCATGCAGTCCTCTATGGACCGTGTTAAGGCACGCGGATGCTAACTCAATGGGATCCTCCACGAATCCACACGGGAGGTGGGAAGGCTGTCTCTACAGCATCAATCAGAATACCAATGAGCTTCTTTCTCAAATCTCACAACACCCAAACAACACACACACACACCAATGTGTCGGAGGAAACACTGTACAACTGGCGAGCATGTCAGCGTGCATGTGCCCGGTCCGCCACAGGAGCCATTGAAGTGCTGTTGTTGATGTGATGTTGAAATGCTGAGTGCTCCTGCCAGCCTGTAGCTGTCACAATTGCTTCACAATGTATTTCTTAAATGGCAGGCTATAGCCTTGAAATAATAGTAATATAGCCTAAATCATTCATTTTCATTCCTTTGTAGGCTACCTGGCTTGCTCCTGGCTGATTTAGAGTTAGTAAGTTGTTTAATAGCCCGTTGAAATGTTGAACGTCAGTTGATAGTGACAGAATCACACATTAATTCCTAAGCAAAGTACATTTTTTGTCTCCTTGGCTATAGAAGGTTCTAGCACAGCCTCTGAATGTCATAGAGACAAACCAAAGATATCCCATATGCATCGGAGTCACGTCTTTCCCTGGCATTTTACATGTTGTTTCTAGGATAAAGCATTTGCGGACTAAAATGTCATTATAAATCATTTTATATAATCATGCCCATTTAATATTTTTCGAAATCTTATGCTTTTAGCCATTGTCTTTAACAAAAGCCACAATACCCTCACACACTCCCTCAATTCGAGCACTGGTTTTAACTTAACACACCAAGCCCTTCACTCACTGACACTGAGATATTTAAGGAGTGCATGGTGACTGAAGGAATTGGCTAGTAGACTATAATTTCATCTGTCAAACAGGTAGGCCTACCTCTTATTTCTTGAATAGGAATAATCTGATTATACTGCTTGCATCAGTTACATGATGTGGAATAGAGTTCCATGTAGTCATGGCTCTATGTAGTAATGTGCGCCTCCCATAGTCTGTTCTGGATTTGGGGACTGTGAAGAGACCTCTGGTGGCATGTCTTGTGGGGTATGCATGGGTGTCCGAGCTGTGTGCTAGTATTTTAAACAGACAGCTCGGTACATTCATCTTGTCAACACCTCTTACAAAAACAAGTAGTGATGAAGTCAATCTCTCTTCCACTTTGAGCCATGAGAGATTGACATGCATGTCATTAACGTTAGATCTCCGTGTACTTTTAAGGGCCAGCCGTGCTGCCCTGTTCTGAGCCAACTGCAATTTTCCCAAGTCCCTCTTTGTGGCACCTGACCACACTACTGAACAGTAGTCTAGGTGCGACAAAACTAGGGCCTGTAGGACCTGCCTTGTTGATAGTGTTGTTAAGAAGGCAGAGCAGCGCTTTATTATGGACAGACTTCTCCCCGTCTTAGCTACTGTTGTCTCAATATGTTTTGACCATGACAGTTTACAATCCAGGGTTACTCCAAGCAGTTTAGTCTCCTCAACTTGCTCAATTTCCACATTATTTATTATGAGATGTAGTTGAGGTTTAGGGTTTAGGGAATTATTTGTCCCAAATACAATGCTTTTAGTTTTGGAAATATTTAGGACTAACTTATTCCTTGCTATCCATTCTGAAACTAACTGCAGCTCTTTGTTAAGTGTTGCAGTTATTTCAGTTGCTGTAGTAGCTGACGTGTGTAGTGTTGAGTCATCCGCATACATAGACACACTGGCTTTACTCAAAGCCAGTGGTATGTCGTTAGTAAAGATGGAACAAAGTAAGGGGCCTAAACAGCTACCCTGGGGAATTCCTGATTTTACCTGGATTATGTTTGAGAGGCTTCCATTAAAGAACACCCTCTGTGTTCTGTTAGACAAGTAACTCTTTATCCACATTATAGCAGGTGTCTGGTCAAACACAATTTGGTTGGTAACAGGCTGATTGGTTGGCTATTTGAGCCAGTAAAGTTTTTTTGTTGCTATTCTTGGGTAGCAGAATGACTTTAGCTTCCCTCCAGGCCTGAGGGCACACACTTTCTAGTAGGCTTAAATTGAAGATGTGGCAAATAGGAGTGCCAATATCAACCGCTATTATCCTCAGTAATTTTTCATCCAGATTGTCAGACCCGGGTGGCTTATCATTGTTGATAGACAACAATAATTTTTTCACCTCTTCCAAACTGACTTTACGGAATTCAAAAGTACAATTCTTGTCTTTCATAATTTGGTCAGATATACTTGGATGTGTAGTGTCAGCGTTTGTTGCTGGCATGTCATACCTAAGTTTGCTTATCTTGCCAATGAAGAAGTCATTCAAGTAGTTGGCTATATCAGTGGGTTTTGTGATGAATGAGCCATCTGATT